CATATACAGTGGCAGACCCAAAAATTTTCTAAAGCAGGGACACTAACACATGGATGAGAACAGGCCGGGTCGGGTCATATACAACACTGATCTATTTTATATAGTCCGTTCAAATTACGGAGTATTATTTTAAACCGGAAATATATTATTCAATTTTTGATCGATGATAACGTTATATCATCCCTGCAAACAATTAAATCATTTTTATAATTAAAATTTACATATTTGAAATATACATTGTTCCATAGAGTCTCAAAGTTCAAGTTAAACTATAATAAAAAATTGATTTGTTGGATAAGTAAGTAAAGTGAAACTATATTAATCAATAAATTTGACTTTGTAAATAATTCTGGGTGAGAGGGAATAGTAAAATGGTGACAACTCCGGTACATTTCTAAAAAATGGGGTACCATACTTACCACCTATTTGATTGGACCACATCACTTTATCATTTTTAATTTATATTTAAATAACTCAACTGCTACATTCTCATTGATCTATGTGGACAAATGTATGATACCTTATGAGTACCATAGAATCTACCTAGTAAAATTACTCCATAGTAACAATAATAATACGAGTAAGACCTTCCAAAAGAAATAATAATACGAGTAAGAACAATAATACACTAAAAACATGATGTACGGAATGCGGAGTTAGGCTTTAATACTCCGTAACAATATGACTTTAAGTAATACGGAGTAACAATATGACTTTAAAAAATAGTGAGTTCGTTGTGAAAACCAACAAAAACAGAACCTTTCCCACACCAAGTACGAACCCGGTTGTATCCTTCTCTGGCACAAGCCCCAATTTACTCAATCAAGCAACTTTGACGGAGGACAGTCGGTCTATGGGCGTGACGAATACAGCTCATGGCTCGGCTAATAAAATTGAGGCCGAAAAAGTAATTATTCCTAAGGTCTTGGAAAATTACTACTCGTATTTCTTTGGAGAGGAAGGTTTTGACTCCATCAAAATTGAATCTAAACTTTATAGATTTGTTGTCCAAAAAAATGAAACAGTCATTTTCGAAATAAAAAAATCCTCACTTAAAAGGATTAATTTCAATACAGCGATTGCACCCCAGATCTTCAGCTTCATTCACTACCTCTCATGCTCACATAAGTTCCTTGGGCAGAGCAAAAAATTCGGGTCTATCAAAGTTACTACGGTGCTCAACAAATCAGGCAGTTATTTGAAGATTGCTAAAGAAAAAGGGAGCTCAATTTAGTCCCCCAGGGTCCACAAAATTCAAATCTCAAAGATTTTTTGACATTATTTTCTAATTTTGTTGGATTATCTTATTTAGAGCAGGAGGAACACATGCATTGGGAGCATGACACTAAGGCTGATACTGAGGATATAACCATTTCTAAACTCATATTTAACTATGAGGTACAGAGAGCCTTTGGCGAGAAACAAGAACCCCTCTCCCTTGAGAAACAACCACAAATTCCACTTCTTCAGGCTTACTCTGATGCCTCAGATAGCTTTGACTATTCCGATGATTCCTTCTTCTCAGACGATTTTCTAGGTCATGCGACTGAAAGCGACCAGCGTCCTCCATTATCAAACGAAGAAGAGATTGGGAACTCCAAATTCAACAGATCGATTTGCCGCAAAGCAAAGTTTGTCACCCCAGAGAACTGTCTGCCAACAGAAAACCTAAATACCCAACTAAAACTTTACCGGAAATCTCAGCAAAACAAAAGGCGCCACAGTATGAGGACAAGATCACAGTCCAGAGATTTTCCTTGGGTCTAGTTTTAGTTTTATATATTTTCTTTTCTGCTGTGTATTTTTTTTCCTTTATTTGTGTTCTTGCATTGTACTTTTTATTTTGATGAATAAAATCGTTCTCTTTCAAAAAAAATAAATAAATAAATAAATAAAATAGTGAGTTCGTTGTTGCCTTTGAAAACCGGGGTGAATAGCACTTGAAATATACTCCGTATTAAAAAATGTGTAGCCTTAACGGTAATGCACTTCAAAAAACTAAACAAAGGTTGTAGCCAAGAAGAGTTTCGACCATCCGACGTGAAGCCTGAGAAGGATTTTAAAATCAATGCTATTACCAAATAGGCTAGAAAGGATAATTGAGGTGAAGCCAGTGCTTACCCTACTTAACACGTAGATCCGCCCCTGCATCCACCAACACATGGTTTAGATATAATATGAATATTCTAAAAAGTTTAAATGAACTTTATTTAGAAATTAGAGTGCTAGTTAGTTAAACTTTTGACATATTTAAAAGTTCAGAAGTCCAATATCTACTTTAAATTCGTTCTTACGAATACTTATTTCTGTGGTTCATATTTAGGCATTTTCATATTTGGCAAAATTTATACGAATAATTCATACTTCTAATGATTCAACAATAATAATCCCTTGGTACTTTAAGTATTCTTAAAAAAAATTAAACTAACAATGGTGTTCACGTGAATAAATTGTGATCAATCCAAAGTCCAAACTAATTCATGTTTAATACTTAACTTCAATCCAATCTCTTCTTTTCTTGTATTTCCTGAGCTACGCAATTTTCCTTTCTTCATTAAACTTTCATCCTTTTCAGGTCATGAATCTTGCTAAACCTCTTAATCGCATTGGGGATTCCAGCAACAACAATATTTTGACAAATTCAAAATATATTCAAATTCTTATGTGCTCAAACAGTGTTTTAAATAGATCAAGGGTATACAATACTATATTTTAAAATCTTACTCGCTAAGTCACCTTAAGGGTATGTTGAAAGATGTTACACATACGGATCCAAATACCTAAGAAAATTATAGGAATGCATTACACACATACACTGATACACACATATATATAGGACCAGGGCCGGCCCAGGGGGTGTGTCCCTGCCCGACTGCACAGTGCCCAAAAATATGGAAGGCCCAAAAAAATAAATTAGTAGTAGTATTACTACTAGTCTACTACTCAGTATAAGTTAGTCAGCCCATTAGCGAACGAAAAGGTGCGGGACAAGCATAGCAATCTGCGAAAGAGGAAGCGCATAGGCCAAAGGGCATAACGAGTGACTGAGCGAGACGAGCGACGTGTCGACGACTCTCCATCTCCAGGCTCTGCTCCAACCATCCTGATTTCAAAGTTGTTGCGGCGATTCGGCCTTCGGACTGCTGCAGTATTCACTTCTTACCATCGGCAATGGGCATCCACTCATCTAGGACGGCGGGACTCCACTATTCTAGGTAAATTCGTAACTAATAGAGAGTAATTGTTCTTTATGAATTAATATTATAATCTGAGTTCAACAAAGTGATATTAATAGGTTCTTAGGTTGTTAAATTTGTTTTTGTGTCACTATACAACTTTATGCGTAAATAATTTTTTTCTTGGATTTATTACTGTTAGTTAATACTAGCAACTTCTATTTTGAAATAATTCTTTAATAAATTACTACTAATCCGTATCAACAATTTACCATTTCAATTGAAATAGCCTTTCTATTAACGATTGAAAGGAAAGACCTGATTTTTGTTGTTGCACAGGGCCCTCGTTTTCTCGGGACCGGCCCTGTATAGGACACCAAAAAAATCTGGACACCATAGAGTGTATGTATATATGTATATGTTGTAATTAGGATTGTGAAGCATCATCCCATTTTCAAACCAACGTATGATAAGGATAAAATGCTATTAAAAGGGGGAGAAGTGTGTGAGTAGGTAGGTGGGAAGTAGCAAATAGAAGGTAATGGACGACTAAGGGAAGTTTCATTTGATATAATTTTATAGACATTATCATGAGTTAAAGATTATTTTTATCATATCTCGAGTACCAATTATTATTGTAGAACTGAAAGTAGTGATTATTCGTATAAGTTTTACACGTCATCATTGTTATGATAATCACATTCCAAGTGAGAATAGAGAAGAATTCTAGACCGATTTTTTTAAAAGTTATTTTACAAATTTAAAGATATTTCTTTTTTTAAAAAATGAAAAAGTAGTCACGGATCAAGTCCGTGACTAAATTTTAAATTTTGAAAATTTAAACCGTAACATTTTGGCGGTTCATTTTTAAAATTTGAAAGTTTAGTCACGGAAAAGGGCCGTGACTAAGTCGCCGGTGCGGTTATTCCGGTGACAAGTTAGTCACGGATACGGTCTGTGACTAAGCCGTGACTACGCTTAGTCACGGATAAAATGTCTGTGACTAGAATTAGTCACGCCCAAACAGTCACGGATTTAGTCACGGACAAAGTCCGTGACTAGCGGAGTTAGTCACGGATTTTTTATATTACAGTCCGTGACTAAATCCGTGACTAACTCCGTGTTTTTTTGTAGTGCCGTTCGCTTTTGGTTTTGTTGTTTCGGTTTTTCATGGTCAATTTAAAATTGATGAAGCTGAGAACCAAACGATAATACTTCCATTGATTTTGACTCAATTAATTTTAATCAGTTTTAGGATGTTTCCGTCGATTTTATCGGTTTGATCAATTTTCAAATTCAAAGCTATAAACTATAAAACGGACTGCCTAGAATTGGGCCAATTTTGGTTTTATTCAATTTTATTTTGGCAATTAAATTTCTATCAAATTGTTGGTGAGTTTAGATTTATTGGTTTGTTTGGTTAGCCCTAGTGAAAAATAAATTACACCAAGAGTTCTACATACTTTTAATGGTATAGGGTGTAAGTGATCATGCATAAACCTCAATAAACAAGGGCAACGAGCCAACCATACTTTCCCTATATTCAATTGGTTATTTATAACGATTAAAAAAATTCGAATATCCTAGGGCAACGATACATTCCCTATATTGAATTGGTTGTTTATAACGATTAAAAAAATCGTATTTAGAGAACTTTGATTGCAAATCAGTAATGTTTTTTTAACATGTTTTTATCTATACTCCTCGTCCACGTTCGATGGACGAGGAGCATTAAAACTAAAGTTGAACATTATATTGGTGAATGGACTGAATGCAATAAGAAAATCAAGGCAATTTGTGAAACTAATTTCAAACTGTCGTACCAAAGTTTTTTAAAGCGAAAAGCGCACAAAAGCGCGATGAGGCATGTCTTTGCTTAAAAGCAAAAGCTGTAAGCGAAGCGTTGTTTTTTATAGTGAAGCGTAGTTTTCCTATCAAAAGTGACGCTTATAATAAAACCTAACAATAAAATATATAATGCATAATTAAGCCAAAAGTGTGTAACTAGTCATAAAGAGTAATACTAATGTGGCACAAAATGAGAAAACATTCATCATAAAATTAAGCAATATACCATATGTAGCTCCCTGCCTCTATGCTTTTGATGTAAATCTTTATAGCTGAAAGTTTTATTCACTGTAATGGAGTACAGATTATGTATTATTTCCCACAATACTTGGCAGAAGAACTCTTCCGAGTTCCGAGGAAACGAAAGATGGACCCCCTCCATCCTCATCTGAGTCGCCTTGAAATTCTGTCCTACTCTATCATCATCATCTCCATTCTCCAGTATCACTTGAAGAAGGAAGCCTCTTGACATGTGGGAGAGTTGACATCAATCATATCTGGATAAAGCTTAAACTAATTGTGAAATTCATATTCCTCATAGCCATCTAATTAATTCTATACTTGATTTCATGTGCACGTGTGCTTACTACATAGTCCTCTCCTGCAGAGAAGCTCTTGAACAACTGTTTATTATTTTCCCTTTTCCTTTTTTCTTTCACCATTCAGTAGGTTGATGGTAGCCTGAGATCAATTATAGAAGACCACTTATATATTTTAGATTACGGTAGAATTATGCATATTTGAGATTAATATTGGAAGACTGTTGAGATTATTCATGTGAATTTTTCCAAAAAAAAAAAAAAAACTAACACTAGTTGACTGGTCAAAGACCGCTTTTAGTGAGAATCGCAGAAGAGCGAACGCTTTTGCGCTTCACCACTAGCCGGGAAAGCGATAGAAAGTTTCACTTTCTCACACGCCATCGCTTATGAAAAGCCTAGTGCATAGCCATCGCTCAACTGGGCTATGCGCATAATCTCGCTTTTCGTCGCTTTCAATAAGTTTTTCTCGTACAATCTTTTCTTTATTTCAAATGCCAGCAGCACAATGTTCCTTTAACCATCATAAGCAGCTGTGGTAAAGACCTGAAAACATTTAGATAAGTGAATATAATAAGGCAAGAAATAATTAACACAACCCGTTCTCGCCTGGAGATAAAATACTAAGGAACGAAATGGACATACACACATTTAAATGAGGACTAATAACAGTATTCTAATAAAGATGTTGATCAGATGATAACAAACAACTGCATGATTTATTCCGTAAAATGGCCGCAAAGCAATCAGAGAGTATGAGCCAGATTTTTTACCAAAACGTCCAATGTGATGATGATTCATGTTAAAGTAGTGTTGGGAAAGATTAAAAAAAAATGTTTACCGAAACCCGTAAATACATCAAATTAACATATGAAGGAGAGTGCTCTATAAAGGACAAATAATAGCAACTTACACAATCTCAACCAACTTGGTGAGGCTGAAAACCCTTGAATTCAACTCTTCTATAGAAACCTAACACAAAGCCTTGACAAAAGTCACACATAGCCACACTTTTCAATTTTTGACTCCTAATGAATATGTGGCTCATTTCACCAACATGTTTAAGTTTGAGAACAAATTGGTCATATGTTCTGTTGTGATACCAGAGGAGCAGTGCCACTGATGCCTACACCGTCATAAGAACCCCTTCTTTTTCGAAACTCGGAGAATATTTGATTTGGCTTGTTTTAACTTGTAAAACTCAATCTGATGAACTGCAAAAAAGTAGCATCTGGAGGTGCACCCTCCCCAAAGAGATGCAAATTCTCAACCCGAGAAATAGGGGGTTAAGATGTGCTCCAGTCCATGCCTCCTGCAATTAACTTCCATCCCGACATCCACAATTGTTATGACACCCTGTCACAAACCCACAAAGGTTCTTACCTATTAGCTATCAAGCTTTTTAAAGTTGAATGACGATAATAAATAGTAGTCATTTACTGAAACAGTATGCACAAAATAATAGAGACCATGATATATAGCATCAATGTTGTGTTTCATATCTGCAGGTAAAATGGAGAGAAGTGAACTTTACAATGGATATCACAAAGCATAAAGCAGATCAATATCACTTGTATCACGAAAAAAATGTCAAATAATCACTCTGATTTCTGAACTACGAAACCCCCTTGTTTCTTCCTTTACCTTTGGAGATGGAGGGAGGTGTCTGCTGTCCAAGAGGAACTCTTGGCCAAGTTCTAACTGTGGCAGAGTAATTCCCATCATTGGTTAATCCATTCTTAGCCACACTCTAACTGCTTTACCTGCCCTCTCCCCTGGAGCCTGTGCCACTCTGCCCAGATCCTACCCTACTCTTCCCATTTATGCTCCCCCTACATACTAAATAATAGAGCAGCTAGGAGATTCCTGCAAGACATGTTCGTAATATTCATATTACCAACTGCGTCTCCCCCTCTTCCCTGGACCCTGGGGCACCTCTCCTCTCACCTTCAACTTCCCCCCTGCGCTTTGCCCAAGATGAAGCCCCCTCCCCCGGGCCTGCCCCCCTTTTCGACCCCCTTCTCCCCAGCCCTTTCCCAACCTCCGGGGATCTTCCCTTCAATTCTCCCCCTTCCCCCGGGGCCTACGCTAAATTTTCCCTTTAAATTAGCATAGGGAGGCAGTGACACGACTACCTCCAATTGACAAGAATGGGGTGGTGGTGTAGATTATTTAAGGGATTGAAGGCCAAATAAACTAAACGAAGATAAGGAAAAGAGCTTATAAAGATACAACACACAAGGCAAAGCACATAAGAACAAATCTAGAGGAGTATAAAATCTAAATGACATTATGCCATGGCCAGTGAAAATGTATTTCCACACAAATTTCAAATAGTAAATATAACTTACAATCAAGCATGAAAATCCTTCGGCAACCATCTTTTCCCTTCTCCCCTTCTACACCCCTCCCTGCCTACCCCCTCTCCCCTTTGGAAGATCCCCAGTGACAATATTATAAATTTCATCTTAGCAAGATCAGCACACAAACAAAAAGTTAAACTTCAATCCACAAACTATGATTTTGAAAAAACACAATGTTACCAAAGTCACATACTTGGAATCTGGCCAGGTGTCTCTAAAATGCATTTAAGGCTGTCCAGTTTGAGTGAGCTGATTAAATGTAGAGAAGTTGCCCCAATCAAAATTGGAGATATAAAGAGCCAAGTTTAATGATGTCTTTTACTTATCTCCTTATTATACTCTTCATCCACCAATAATTACATCCAAGGATAATTGTTCATTGTTCTCAAAACTTCTAGAGTATATCTCATAAACTCTTGCAAGGTCCGAAGCATTCAAGGTGAACATGTGTCCTGGCAAAGCAAAAGAAGCACCATTGCTTATCTCCTCATTTCGCTCTTCCACAGAGGCAGCCTCCCTGAGCTTCCCTTCTCTCCAAAGGCTCTTCACAAGCAAGTCTTTAGTGGCAGAATCACCCAATTGTTGTCCATAATTGCACATTTCCTCAAAAACTCTCAGTCCAAGAGAAGCCCTCTCACACTTACAATATGCATGTATGACAACCTTGTACATATAACCATCCGGCTCGACCCCACTCTGCCTTGCCATCCCAAACAATGTCTGGACCGTTCTGATATCCCCCTGAAGTGCAAAATGGTGCATCAGCCCAGAATATGTTTGCCTGTCCGGAAAAATCTTAAGCAGAATCATCTCTTCAAGTATGATGATGACATCAGCAGCATCCCTTTTGCATTTCGCTAATGTCCTCAAAAGAGATGAATACAGAAGTAGCCAACCGTTTCTGGGAATAGGACCGCACACTGTTTTTGTATTGCGGAAGACCTTTAGTGCAGCATCACTGTTGCCAGAAATCCCATAAAAATCAATTATTAACTTGATTGTGATAAATGACAGTTGTAGCCCTTCTCTTTCCATCTTGGACAAAAGTTTATCAACTAAATGGACACATCCTTGACGGGCCAGCTTGGCAATCATCCTCGACACTGTGTAGCTATCATGAGTAAACCGCGGTTGATAAGCAACCCAGCAAAAAAATTCCCAAGCTGTTTCTGCACACTTAATGTTTCTTATCATCTTGCTGACTAGCCGGGTTGTCCATACAAACTGTGCATCCTCCAAAGTTGACACCTCATCAGGTTCCCAATTCTGCAAGGCACTAGCCAAAGCAGCAGGGTCCATCCACGGCTTCAATTGAAATTGGTCTGAAACATCTTCATCATTTTCTTCATCGTCATTGTCCTCATTCGAATCTCCTATGCAATATGAAATGCTCTTAATCCTTCTGTCAGGAAGCATTTCTTCAATCAGTGCATTGATGTTCCCATCGTAACCTGACTCCTGCATTTTTTGCAAAGCCCACTGCATAGCCCGGCCTGGCAATATCCCATCAGCCCTCATTTCTTCAAGCAGATCTTTAACATCATCCAACTGCTCATTTCTAATTAATGCTCCAACCATGACAGAATACTGCTTCGATGTGCGCTTTATCCTCATCTGTGGCAAGATCTTGAAAACTTGAACAGCTGAATCGAATTTCCCAGATGTCACGAGATGGTTGATTATAACAGTGTACGTTCTAGAATTTGGAAGTGCCCCATCATTTATCATCCCCTTAAAAACCTTCACAGCTTCAAAATCCTTTCCCTTTTGGGCACAAAGTTCAATAATTATGTTGTAAGATTCTGTACATGGATGCTTCTTCTGCAAAGTTCTCTTCCATTCGATCCATATGTTATTAACCTCATCAAGATCTCCAGCAGCAGCATACCATCGCATACGATCCATGTAACTAACACGTGCAACGTTTGTGAACTTCCCTGTATTAATACCATTTATCAAGGCTTGGAGTTTACCCATCTGCCCTGATCTGGCGAGAACCTTGGCCAATGCATAAAGGGAGTTTGTAGTGTGTGAAAAATGAGGAATTGCTTTTAGGGATTCAACGAAAAACAGTGCAGACTCGGGAGACGGTGCTGAACGAATAGCATTGGTCACTACAAACGAGTCGAGGGAAGGGTTCCTTAGGAGGTCGGATAGAGACTCCGTGGAGTCCGATCGAAGACAAAGTCTTATAGAATCGATGAGCCTTGCTCTCTCAAGGTACACGATCACCTTATTCACATTTCGGGTTTTTGAGAAATGATGAAATTGCACAGTTAAATGGTTTGGTGGACAGGTTATCTTGTAAAGTCTGCCAAGAAACATCCCCCTCTGGAAATACAAAACACACCCACCCTGGTTGAAAGAAATCAAGGTTTAGAAATTTGATCTAAGAAAGACAGGTATGTGGTAAAATCTATGGCATAAGATGAATGCAGTTAGAGCATTGAAACATCTTGCATATGCTCATCTACAATTTGAATGATGAGGAGTTGTCTGTATAGTTTATATTTTATAAGAATCTCTACAATATAAACAATATCCTATTTCAAAATATACGCTTACTATTACCTTTCTATCTCCATAACATCCAGTCGTTCCTCTTATCTACCTTCATACGGAGTATTCCATTTTCTAACTATAGTCAATTAGTCATTAATGTCAATCCTCATATGAGTATCTAGTGCAAATTTGCAACATGCTGATTCTACTCAGCCATGGCTCTACAGCCTCTACTACATTGACATCTGTACACACAAACTAACCAATGAAAAGAGCTATGAGTCTATGAGTACTTCTATCTACGAGGATAAGAACTTTTTTATATTCTAATAGGAATAACAGATGAAGAATTCAGAGATTGTACTAACATTAGATGAAGCAAAATTTTATTTCATTTCATAGATAATTCTTACCAATAAAATTTACTGATCTAAACAGAAATTCTAAGTCTTTATTTAGTAACTGAACTTTTTGTAAAGAGAGTGTAATTAAGCCAATGTGGTTAGTATGCGAGGAAACCAGGAAAGTAAAAGTTGGTTTGCAAAATTGACAAGGAGACGACTCACTGTAATAAGATGTAGAAGGGTTCGAAGGAGATGAAGTGCAAATTGGGGAAACGGATTTATACTAAAATCCAGGCAACGCTTGTCTTCATCGGAAGGAGATGATGTGCAGTGAAGGAGAAGGACGGAAGCAGGGGTGCAAACGAGCCATATTCACGGGCTGCATCTCGAGCTTGATAAGAATTTACTAGTTGGATCTCGAGCTTCTACGAGTTAAAAAATCCGAGTTGGATCTCGAACCTAGCTCGGCTCGAGCTTGATTCCAGCTCGGGTTATGTTTTCTTAATTAATTTTTATAGGTTTGAATTCGAACAAGATGTTCGAGCTCGAGCTAAAAATACTACTACCTCCGTCCCGAATTGATTTGCAAATTTGACTTTTCTTGGTCAAACAATTGTGTTTTGTTCACTTAATTAGGATGCCAATTTTTAATTATATTCTAATTTGGAGTTTACAAATTCGAAGAGATTTTGATGTAGTTTATGAATATGTAAATTTCATTTATTAAAAATTAAATTAATTATGCATAAGAAGGGTTGACTTTTATTATTAGTTGACCAAAAAATGTTGACTTTGCAAAACAAATTGGGACGGAGGGAGTATATGTGTACTTATTCATTCTAATTCTTAGTTTATCTCTCATTTACTATTATTTTTATTCTTTATTTTACTATCAATAAATATTAAGAGTACATACATATTATAGTTATTATGGTTATAATAATAATACTACACACATGATATTATTACTATTATAGTGTACTCTGTGATAAATACTGAAAATGGAATAGTCCTAAAGTAGAATATTTATTTCAAAAAAGTATATATATATATATAATTATTACATATATATTTATTATAGGGGAAAATGTCAAATAGACCCTCCTACTAATACGAAAAAGTCAATTATGCCTCCGAACACAAAAAACATTCAATTAAGCTCACGAACTAAATATAACGAGACAAATCAGTCCTTTTTAGCAGGATATTAACCGTTCCCAGTTAAGTTGCCTGTGTGGCAAATGATGTGGCATGCTTTTACATTTTCTTTTTCTCTTTTTCTCTTTCTTTCCTTTTTTCCTTATCTCTTTTTGACCGCTTAATTACCTGCTAAAAGGACTGTTTTGCCTCGTTTTTTATAGTTCGTGGGCTTAATTGAGTGTTTTTTGAGTTCAGGACCTTAATTGACTTTTCTGTATTAGTAGGGGGCATATTTGACAGTTTTCCCTTTATTATATAGAAAATATGACGCAAAGGCTCACGAACCGGCTCGCGAGCCGCGAGCCACGAGCCAAAAATAAATAGGCTTGAATGGAGCTTGCTAACTATTCGAGTCGGGCCGAACTCGAGTTGAGCTTAATATGACCGAACTTGATTCGAGCTTTTCCCGAGCGATCCACAAGCGGCTCGCGAGCGGCTTGGCTTATTTACACCCCTAGATGGAAGTGGAAACTTGGGGTGGGTGAGGGATGGGCCGCGTGGCTGTGAAATTATTAGGCTATAGTAATTTACTTGTAAACAAGTTAGAGAGTAATTTCATTCAAAAAAATAAGTACGGAGTACTTTTTAGTTTTTATACTACGTATGACTTTGAAATAATTCCAAATAATTACATATTTCTTTTACTAAAATAAAGGTGGTTTATTAAAACATACTCCGTACTCTTTATCATTCTAAGTGGAGTGACTATTTTGAGATATTATAAAAAACATATTTTTAGCGATTATTTTTATATTTAATATATGTGTGAATGATTGTGACATTATATTGTGGTATTTATATCAAATTTTATAAATATGTTTTATTTCAATTACTCAATCCGTCTTTTCTAACTTTGCCAACTTTTCTTTTTTTGGATGTCTCATTAACTCTGCCACTTTGTTTTTTGAGTAAAGAATTTGGGGTTCTAGTTAATTCTCTCTCCTCTGCACAAATCTCTATCACACAGTTTTTACTTTATTAATCCTCAAGCCGGTCAAACTTGGCAAAGTTATTAGGGACGGAGGGAGTATTTTTTTATTTAATAATTTAAATAACAAAAATATGATAAAAATATGATATAAGAATAAAAATTAACTACTTGAGAATGAAAATGATGAACTTCTTGAAACAACCAAAAAAAAAGTTGGCATGTGACTTCTTTTTATTTGATTTTGATCATAATACACATTTCCAATACATATTTGAGCTTTTATCTGTGTTCCTCTCTTTTTCTTATACAACATATTATAATTACTTCTATGAAACATAAACAATTATTGTATTTATTAAAATATAAATGTTGGGAAAGTACAAAAAAAGATACTTTCTCAATAATTAGAGTTCCTGCTTTCACTTTTGAACGTTTAGATATCCTCATTTTTGTTTTGTGAAATAATTAACACTCTTAAATGACAATTTAATCATTGAATATAAAAACAAAGGCATCTATAACACCATCATCATCATCATCATCATCATCAAAGACCCACTATATTACTCCCTCCGTCCCACGTTTAATTTCGCAGTTTGACTTTTTGAGTCAAACTTTGTTAACTTTGACCGTTAATTAGTTAAAAAACACATTTATAATACCAAAATAGTGTTGTATATTTTTATATGTCAATGGTCAAACGTTAATATTGAAGACCGTGAAATGTTGGCCATGAAGTTGATTATGGGACGGGGGAGAATACTACCTCTGTCTCAAAAATACTTCCTCGTCTGACTCGGCACGCTTATTAAGAAAGTGAGAATAAAGTGAAAATGTATGGTTGTGGTTGAGTAAGAAAAAGTTAAATGAATGTGAGCCACACAGAACTTTCCAAAAAATAAAAATGAGAAGAAAATTTTGGGACATCTCAAAATGGTATAAGTGGGAAAAAAAATTGGGACACAGAGAGTACCTTTTAAAATGATTCCTCAAAATACACTCAAATTACCTTATTTAATTATGATCTAAATAATATGTCGTTTTATAATTAGAACCTTAAATCCAGATGAATATAGTAAATGTGATTGAGTGTGTTTTCACATATGAGCATGTGTTTCATTTCTTATCAAAATAGCTTTCTACTTTGACTTTGTTTATTACAGGGTTGGCACCTAAAGTCGTTAGATATCGCTGGAGAAAGATGATAAACAATAATTTTGAATGAGAGTTAGTATATATATAACAAACTTATAATTGTGAATGAGAGTTAGTTTTCTTAACTTATGTCAATAGACTTTGTGCTTGCATGGTGTACATTGCTTTTAGAAAATAGAACCTTACTTTTTAATAGGACTTTTTTACCCTAATTATTCTCTTCTAACATTACATTCCGTTAGTCACCGTTAGTCAATTTCTAAAACACAATAACACATTACGTGATAACCGCATAACTCTTGCCCACTTCCATCATAGCATTTTCAAAACTTTGCTCATGGAATACGGAGTATGTTTTACTAAAGAACTTATTTTAAGGGGGAAAATATATTTAATTTTAGAATTATATAACAATATTTTAATTAAGCTCACATGGGTCAGTTTTAGAATTATATAATAGTATTTTAGTGCATACTACCTCCGTCCCGTTGAAAGGTTCTCATGACAAAATGGCACGGTTATGTAAACAATAATTTAATAAGGTAGTTTGAGTATATTTTGAAAAATAATTTTAATAGGTATATAATACAACAAGGTTTGTGTTGATATGGTGATGTTATAAATCGATTATTTTTAATATTTAATGATTAAATTTTCATTTAAGATTGTTAATTGTTTTCTTAAATCGAAATGAGAACTTTTACCTTAAGCTATTTAAGGACCGTCTCACTACATGAACTCTGATTCTTTGATTTTTTTTTATTCTTTGATTGTTTGATTGTTTGATTGTTTAATTGTTTAGGTATGATAGATATCATTTTTTCTACTCTAAATTTTAATTTGACTCAAGCCACTTTTACTAATACGTTTAATCACGTGATTGTTAATGGGCTATAGTTTCAATTTTCTTTGCAACAACAAAGATATAACACATCCTTCAAAACAAAAATCGGGAATTATGAACAAAATTATTACACCCTCCGTTCCGCTAAAATTAGTTCATTGTTCCTTTTTGGTCGATATCATTGTTTCTACTCTAAATTTTAATTTGACGCATGCCACTTTTACTAATACGCTATGTCTAATACGTTTAACCACTTGATTCTTAATGCCTATAGTTTCAATTTTCTTTGCAACAATAGAGATATAATACATTCTTCAAAAAACAAATCGGGAATTATGAACAAAATTATTACACCCTCCGTTCCGCTAAAATTAGCTCATCTTTCCTTTTTGGTCGATCTGTCCCACTAAAATTGTGACATACGGAGTACTAAATTTAGTACAATTTGTGTGGTTCTAAATCATTATGAGTTTATTCTTATTTTATGGATCCATTCAATACAATCACATACACTCACATTTCTTAATAATTGTGTCACCTCGTCAGGTCTCATTGTTAGTGAGATGGAGACAGTTTTATGGATGTTTTTACTAGGACTGTAATTTGCTGATCTGGTCTGGTCTGGTCTGAACTGGTCTGGTAAAGTCTGGTTTCTTTGTATATTTATAATTTTCCAAGTCTGGTCTAGTCTGGTCTGGTCTAAACTGGTCTGGTCTGGCCTGGACTGGTCTGGTCTGGGGCAAATTACAGTCCAAGTAAAAACATCCTATGTTACCATGGAGGGTAAGGAATTTGATGTTATATATAGTGTTGTATTGGTTTTGAATTTTTCCGGCACAATGAAGCTTAAGTTTTGTTTAGTAAAGTAACATTTCCTTTAGAATTTTAGAGAATAAATGTTAGGACATTTCTGAAAGTTTAAACAAATGACAGTTTTTTTGGATTTGTCAAACACAAGGATAATTCCCGAAATATGAGTAAAAATGTTTAATTTGAGAATTCCAAAATAGGATTGTCATGTTTTTATTCCCAAAATAAGAGTAATTATTGTCAAGCTTGAAAAATAATGTCATGTTTAAAGTCTGGTACTATCAAAAACATGTCAGTGATTACTCATATTTTGGGAGTAAAAACATGATACTCCTATTTTGAAATATGCAAACGTTTTCAGTCCTATTTAAGGTAACTAGTAAATCACCCGTGCGATGCACGGTCGGTGAATTTCTAACCCATGACCAAAACGTTATGTTCATTGAGCATCTCAGTCAAACTGACAACTATTCCCTCGTGCAACTTCCTTGTAGCGTGACCATCGCTGCAT